AGTAGGGTGCTCAGCACGATACCGGTCAGACTCAGGGTCCGGAACGTCAGGCAAAGAGGACGAAGGAGGAGACGGTAGAGGGACACGCTGAGGAGCAGTAGAGGGACGCAGAGTCATGTAATGAGTGCCTGGGACAGGAGGAGGACGCTCACGGCGGACACGACTACCAGTGCGAGCAGTACGAACAGGCGACGCAGGACGAGACTCAGGCTCACGACGCTCTATAAGACCTCCTGTGGGACCAGTGTAAGGAGAGGGAGCAGGGAGAGGCGAGGTAGGCGGTAACTGTGACTGCGGCTGGACAGGCGGAGGACACTCTACGGAGGGAGGAGGACAAGGAGGAGGAGCCTGCCCAAGAACCTGCTGAAGGAGCGGTACGAAGTACGGTCGCGGCCGCGCAGCGTCTCCAGAAGCAGTAGAGACTCCAGCGGCCGGGTCCGCAGTACCAGCAGGAGCTCCAGCGTCCGGGTCCACAGCACCAGCAGCAGCTCCACCAGCCGGGTCCTCAACACCAGCAGCAGCTCCAACGCCCGGGTCCTCAGCAGCAGCAGCAGCGCCACCGCTCGGGTCCTCAGCTCCAGCAGCAGCTCCAACGTCCGAGTCCTCAGCACCAGCAGCAGCTCCACCGCCCGGGTCCTCAGCACCAGCAGCAGCTCCAACGTCCGGGTCCGCAGCACCAGCAGCAGCGCCACCGCTCGGGTCCCCAGCTCCAGCAGCAGCTCCAACGTCCGAGTCCTCAGCACCAGCAGCAGCTCCACCGCCCGGGTCCTCAGCACCAGCAGCAGCTCCACCGCTCGGGTCCTCAGCACCAGCAGCAGCGCCACCCCCAGAGTCCGCAGCACCAGGAGCACCACTCCGAAGACTGCAGCGCCGTGTGTACCACTCGCAGATCTGCTGAATGGGGGGGAGCTCCTGGGTAGGAGGGGAAGTACCGGGACGAGCTCCAGCAGCACCTCTCCGGAGGCGGCAGTACTCGAGGTACCTCTCCTGCAGCTGCTGGGAGGAGAGGGCTCCTCCAGGTGTAGCACGCTCAGGCTCAGCACCCCCAGACTCAGCACCCCCAGACTCAGCACCTCCAGGCTCCGCACCCCCAGACTCAGCACTCCCAGGCTCAGCACCCCCAGACGCAGCACCCCCAGGCTCAGCACCCCCAGACGCAGCACCCCCAGGCTCAGCACCCCTAGCAGGACGAGAGTCAACAGCTACCTCGACAGGCTCACCCGGGTCTACCTGGGACACACCTGAGGGAGCAGCACCCTGAGGGGGGAGGGGGTCTGGTACCTCAGCACCTGGAGCGAGGAAGAGAGGCGGGGGGGGGAGCGGGGCAGTGCGGTAGGGGAAGAGGCGGTAGTAGGGGACGGACTCGTCAAAAGTGACGTCCTGAGAGGCCAGGACACGACGCGAGGTGGGGTGGTAGAACTGCCAGCCCGGGGCGTCTAGGACAAAGCCAAGGAAGACGCAGGGGACAGCGCGACGGGAGAGCTTGTCCGCGGATGTGTCGCGGACAAAAGCTCGGGATCCCCAGACCCGAAAACGCGACGCATCGCCAGCCTCTCCCGTCCAACGCAGTGTCGGAGAAGTCTCGGGCAAGGAGACACGGGGCCAGAGGTTGAGCTGATGCGCAGCGTATCGGACTGCAAACGGCCACAGAAAATGGGGGGCAGCCGCATGGCTCAAGGAGGTACGAGCGACCTCCATGACCAGACCAATGCGGCGCTCAGCAACCCCATTCTGCTGTGGAGAGGCCGGAAGCGTGTACGACTGCTCAATGCCCTCCTGCTGACAGAAGGCCTCCAAGAGGCCAGAGGAAAACTCCCCACCTCTGTCAGAGTGCAGACGCAGGACAGGGAAGTCGGAGCGGAAACGCTCACTGAGCTGGAGACGAGATCTGCGGATCCAAGGGATCAAGACATCAGGGACGTCACCCTTGGCGCGCAAGGGGAAGACCGTGGTGTAGCGCGAGAAGTCGTCAACAACAATCAGGAAGTACCTCTCCTGACCCTGACCACGGACGCGGGCTGGGCCCCACACGTCCATGTGGAGCGTCTGCAAGGGAGCAGTCGTCGGGGGAAAGGAGGAGGAGTGAGGAGCGGCGCGCTGCCGCCCCTCGACACAGGGAATACAGGTAGGAGCAGGCGAGTCTGGAAGGGGAGGGAGTACCCTGGGAAGACCAGCAACAAGGTCCCGTTTGTGCATGGCCCGAAGGCGCTGCACAGACGGGTGACCAAGGCGGTGGTGCCAAAGGACAGTCTCATGCGCCAGAGAGCGACACGAGCAGGGGGCGGACAGCTGACCTGACGCAGACGCAGATGCAGCTACCTGAGGGGACTCAGTGGTCAATGTGTACAGGTCCGACCCCGGCTCTCGAGTGAAGGTAGCCAGGTGGCGACCCGTCCGAGCACACGTGCAGTGCGTCACGCGCTCGTAGGCAGGGGTGAACTGACAGCGTGCCGGACGGGACCGCAGGACAAGGAAGGACAGTGGAGGAGGTCGCAAAGACCGGACCCCCAGAGGGGTCAGCAAGGGAGACAGCAACTGGCCGAGCGAGTGGCTCAAGGACAGTGCGGTCACGAAAGAAAGAGCGAGAAGCACCTGAGTCCAGTGAGGCAACTAGCAGTGAGTTTGGTACAAATATGCAACCCTAGAATGGTGACCCTCCTATAGGCTAACCCACTATAGCCTACACAGATATAACATGTATAATGTTTGACAAGCGCACCCCCTAAAAATTTATGATTTATTATAAGCGCATGTCGAATATTATCTGAAAATCAGTCGAAACACATAAACGAATTTCACCTTACCAGGGAAGCGAAGTACAGCTCCACTTTCCTACTCAAATCACACTTGCTGCGCGTCTAGTCAGCACGCGCTGTCGCTTAGTCAGCATGTGTTGGCAGGGAATCAATCCCTGCCAAGTTGCTCGAGAGTCAAATTCGCGACCCCATATATTTTCGACTCGATTACAATTGGCAGAACGAGATCTACAGTTTGGTGGTAAAAAAAACTTAATTTCATTTTGCCATTATATAAACGCCGGCGCTTATAAATTTCCTCAATTATAAGCGCACCCCCTAAAAAACAGTGTTTTATTACAACCCCAGGGGCGCTTCTATCCGGGGTATGACGGTACGCCCTAAGTGTATAGAATACTAGTCTAGCTTGCACTCCCTAGTTAGGGTTAGGGTTAGGGTTAGCTTGCACTCCCTAGTCCTTGGTGTGGGTTTGCAAATGTAACGGGGACGCCCAATCGAGCCAGACCCAATTTCCGTTCGCATTTTCTTTCCGCACCCCATCGCGCAGCGCATTTTGTGGAGGGTATAGTAGATCTTGCAGCCGGACATAAGTAGATCCCGCAGCCGGACATCGCAAGCTGAGTTCTAATGGCTTCGCTACGAGAACTAAAATGTGATGCAGGATGAACATGGAAGCCATTAGAACACCTGTTCATCCTCCCGAAGGCCAAACACTCATGCGCCGACGATTCGATCAGCAAACTTACGCGAATACCTTGGGTATTTTCGTTTGATCAATTAGCGTGTTCTCTAACACCTAGTATCGAAATAGTTGCATACAGCCTTAGCCGCAGGAGCGATGAAGCGTGGGGAGGCGCGGCGGGTGGACACGGCATACAACGTGGAGGAGGAGGAGGAGGAGGTGGCGGCGGAGGACGCCATGCGCGAGCAGGAGGCGTGGGAGCGCTCATACGCCAACGACCGCTCCTGGGAGTCCGTGCAGGTGCGTGCTGGTTTTGGGAGTCGGTGCAGTGAGTGCTGTAGTGGGAGTCGGTGCAGTGAGTGCTGTAGTGGGAGTCGGTGCAGTGAGTGCTGTAGTGGGAGTCGGTGCAGTGAGTGCTGTAGTGGGAGTCGGTGCAGTGAGTGCTGTAGTGGGAGTCGGTGCAGTGAGTGCTGTAGTGGGAGTCGGTGCAGTGAGTGCTGTAGTGGGAGTCGGTGCAGTGAGTGCTGTAGTGGGAGTCGGTGCAGTGAGTGCTGTAGTGGGAGTCGGTGCAGTGAGTGCTGTAGTGGGAGTCGGTGCAGTGAGTGCTGTAGTGGGAGTCGGTGCAGTGAGTGCTGTAGTGGGAGTCGGTGCAGTGAGTGCTGTAGTGGGAGTCGGTGCAGTGAGTGCTGTAGTGGGAGTCGATGCAGTGAGTGCTGTAGTGGGAGTCGGAGCAGGTGAGAGCACACTCACTGCCCTTGCACTCCTCTTTCAACTTCCGGGTTTGCATTCCTGCCCTTGCCGCTCCCCCACTTTCTCATCCCTCCTCCCTTTTACCCCCCCTTCCTGCTACCCCTTCCCTCCCCCTCCCCCCCTTCCTGCTACCCCTTCCCTCCCCCTCCCCCCCTTCCTGCTACCCCTTCCCCCCCCCCCCCCCCTTCCTGCTACCCCTTCCCTCCCCCTCCCCCCCTTCCTGCTACCCCTTCCCTCCCCCTCCCCCCGTTCCTGCTACCCCTTCCCTCCCCCTCCCCCCCTTCCTGCTACCCCTTCCTGCTACCCCTTCCTGCTACCCCTTCCTTCCCCCTTACGCACAACCCTTCTTCCTCACCCCTCGGCGCGGGCAGGAGGACGAGAGTGGGCGGCTGCGCCCGGTGGACGTGGCGGGGCAGCAGCGCAGCGAGAGGGAGAGGCGGCGGCGGCAGCAGGCAGGGCAGGCGGGGCGGGTGGGGGCGCAGCGGGTGAGGCGCGGCATCATCCGCTACCTCGTGCTCGCACTCGACTTCTCCCGGGTGGGTGGGCCTCTCTTGGGCTTGGGTTGGTGGAGGTGACACGGGTTGTGATGACTGCTGCCATGCCATGTCGCTCATGGGATAGGTCGCCTTACTTTCATCTCGCCACACACCGTTGCACTGTGTGCGGTAGAGTGCTGTCAGCAAGTCTTTATCACGTCTCCTGCCCATGTCCATCCCACAATGGCGTGGAATGACATGGCGTGGCACCTCACCTCACTGCATGGCAGGCAGGCGGCGAGTGAGATGGACATGAAGCCGTCGCGCATGGCAGCCATGGCGCGCAGCAGCGAGGCATTCATCCTCGACTTCTTCGACAGCAACCCCCTCAGCCACGCAGCCCTGCTGCTGCTGCGAGACGGCGTCGCCTCACAGCTCTCAGAGCTCACCTCGCCGCCCGACTCGCACATCAAGGCGCTGCAGGCCAACCTCTCCGCCTCAGGCCCCGCCTCCCTGCAGGTACCACCCCGCCTCCCTGCAGGTACCACCCCGCCTCCCTGCAGGTACCACCCCGCCTCCCTGCAGGTACCACCCCGCCTCCCTGCAGGTACCACCCCGCCTCCCTGCAGGTACCACCCCGCCTCCCTGCAGGTACCATCCCGAGAAAAGACCACCCATCGTGCCTGCGTGTGATGTTTCGCCCCTAACTGTCGCATACAATCATGCTCACATGCCACCATGCTTTGAGTTCAACCTCCATCATGTTTCACACTGCTACCCTATCGTCTGCACATGTCATCACCTCCACTTCACATGTCGTGCCTCTCCCATCCACACGCCTCTCCCATCCACACGCCTCTCCCATCCACACGCCTCTTGCATCCACACGCCTCTCCCATCCACACGCCTCTCCCACCCACACGCCCCTCCCTCTCCCCCCCCTCCCCCCCTGGCAGAACGTGTTGGAGGCGGCGGTGGAGGTGGTGGCACACGTGCCGGCCTACGGCCACCGCGAGCTGCTGCTGCTCTTCGCCGCGCTCGCCTCCACCGACCCCGGTGACATCCTGCCCGCCATCCGCCGCGCGCGCGCCGCCCACCTGCGCTGCTCCATCATCGGCGTGGGCGGCGCCGAGGTGCACATCTGCCGCCAGATCGCCGAGCAGACGGGCGGCCGCTACAGCGTCGCCATGGATGACGTGAGGCCCGTCTGCCCATGGGGTGGGGCCCGTGGGGTGACGTGGGGCCCGTGGGGTGACGTGGGGCCCGTGGGGCCCGTGGGCCTGTGGGGTGACGTGGGGTCCGTGGGGTGACGGGGTGGGGGGGCGCACTCTGGGGTGGAGTGGGGGGGGTGGAGTGGTGTGACTGGAGGGTGCCAGAACCGAGGGTAGTGGTGGAGTGTTGCCCATGTGGCCTCTACCTTGTGCTGCTGCTCTTCCACTTATTGCTGCTTCTTCTTGCACCCCAGCACCTTCCCACTCTTTCACCAGCCTTGTGAGGAGCTTGCTTCACTGCCACCTTATCCGGATTTTCTTGGCTATACATGCCACCTGCTGCTTGTGCCGCTGATTCCTGCCTCTCCCTCCCTTCCCTTTCTTCGTCCTCCCGCCCACCTCTCCCACCCGTGTTCCCATCTCCATCCCCTCCCAGGCTCATCTGAGGGAGCTGCTGATGAGCCACGCGGCGCCACCAGCGGTGCAGGCGGGCAGGGCGGGCAGTGCAGCGAGTCTCGTGCGGATGGGCTTTCCCCAGCGCGCCCCCGAGGGGGCAGCAGCGCTGTGCGCCTGCCACATGCACCTCCGCCTCGCCGCCACCTACGTGTGCCCCAGGTGCCGGTATGTGTGCCCCAGGTGCCGGTATGTGTGCCCCAGGTGCCGGTATGTGTGGCCCAGGTGCCGGTATGTGTGGCCCAGGTGCCGGTATGTGTGGCCCAGGTGCCGGTATGTGTGGCCCAGGTGCCGGTATGTGTGGCCCAGGTGCCGGTATGTGTGCCCCAGGTGCCGGTATGTGTGCCCCAGGTGCCGGTATGTGTGCCCCAGGTGCCGGTATGTGTGGCCCAGGTGCCGGTATGTGTGGCCCAGGTGCCGGTATGTGTGGCCCAGGTGCCGGTATGTGTGCCCCAGGTGCCGGTATGTGTGCCCCAGGTGCCGGTATGTGTGCCCCAGGTGCCGGTATGTGTGGCCCACTTGCAAGCTGAGGTGCTATGCTCCCAGACGCCACTCACTCCCTCCCGCACAGCCATGCTCTTACCACCCATTCCCATTGCATCTCATCTGCATCAATCCCTCCACCTGCCACCTCCCACGTGCTCGCTTTCTGTGTCCTCTCTGTCTCTTCCCCCTCACCCCAACCCACATTTTCCCAACCTTTCTTCATCGCACCCTTTCGCAGCTGCATGCAAGCAAAGGCCCAACTTCGCCCACCTCTTGCCTCTTGCCTTTCTTCCCCCTCCCTGCCCTCTCCTCCCCCCTCCTCCCCTTCCCTCCCTCAAACCTCTCCCCCCCCTCCCCCCTCCCCACCCCCCCCTCCCCCCCCTCCTAGCTCACGGGTGTGTGCACTGCCAGCGGAGTGCCCCGTGTGTGCGCTCACACTCGTGTCCTCGCCGCACCTCGCCCGCTCCTACCACCACCTCTTCCCCGTGCCGCCCTTCTCCGAGGTCCCTCTGCCGCCCGCTCCCAAGAGACCTGCAGGGCAGGCAGCCCCTGCCGCCCCGCACAGCGACCTGCCGCCCGCCTGCTTCAGCTGCACTGCCGCTCTGCCTTTCCTCGGTGAGCTCTGCCTTTCCTCGGTGAGCTCTGCCTTTCCTGAATGAGCACGCACTGGTAGGCTAGGCCGTGCTGGGGGATGGGGTAGGGTCAGTCATTCGGGTCATTCGTTGCCTCACCCTCCGCATCACGGCATCCCCATTCTCTGCCTGCCCGTGCTCGCTGCCAGCATGCCTGCTCGGTCTTGTGTGCTTCCACCTGCCAATCCACTGCTGCCTGCGCACTGTTGACCGCGTCACTGTGCGCAGAAACGGAGGGAGGGGGAGTGCGGGTGGAGTGCCCCTCGTGTGCGCGGCACTTCTGCTTTGACTGCGACGTCTTCATCCACGAGAGCCTGCACAACTGCCCCGGCTGCGAGGCCACCCGCCTGCCCCAACTGGCGTAGCCAACCACAGGGCCCAGGGGGGGGGGGGGGAGGATAAGGTTCTGCCGTGTATCGACACAATGTCACCAAGCTGTGTATCGACACAATGGCACCAAGCTGGTCTCTGTTGGAATCCTGCCAGGGCTGACGCTATCAGACTAAATAGTCTGATTAGTCTGACGAATCAGACCATCCAGTTTGTGAACAATGAACTTCCAGAGTAGTCAAATTTTCATCACTGAGAGCCTCAGAGTTATTGTTTTATGGCCCCTGATTCAGTGTAATGGCCCCTGGTGTTTCTGGAGAGTTAGTAGTTTATGGAGTATGTCTCTACAGAGTATACATTCTGTGGTCCCTGAATGCGAGTTTATCGAGAGAAAGCTTCTTCGCAATTTCCTCTCGATATACCCACCTTGGAGGTGGCAGCGAATGCCAACACGTGAGCAAAGCACACAGCACCAGCTGCGATATTTGAATACGCTCTATCTGCGACAGTATTGTTGGAAATCCGAATAAGTATAACGAATACTATGTACCAGTAAGCTGTTCGGTTTTAGTGTAGTCCCCTTTATAAGCCTCCAGGGCCAACAGTAATTGTCACAATTATTGTAGGGTCACAATTATTGGAGCTCAGCATTATTGGAGGGTAGAGGGTACTGTTATTAGTACACCATTATTGGTGTGGTTGGGGTCATTCTAGGAGGGGTAGCTGGATGCATACATACCCTACCTGCTGTGTGCCACATCATCATTCAAATCATTCTACAATACAATGATCAACCTGGTTCTTATAAAAGATTACTATCTTGTTGGTTTCTACAAACACGTTTCTGCTACGCAGGCACTATGCCTTTCTAGCATGGTATCAGAGCTACTCTAGGGGGCATGCTGCCAAAATTGGTTCAGGAATTTACTGACATTTACGGCGGATAGGTATCTGCATACATTCAGAGTACCGCACACCCGATCTACACTGTTGTATACCTGGTATTCGCTTCTGGGTCCAACTGCGCGTTTAGCTCACACTTGGTGGACGGTTTGATCAACATCATGGCGCACTTCGATGATGAAGTGGATGCTGGATATGCGGCTTTCAAGGAAGCCATCTTGGCTCAACACGAGCACCTGGAAAACATGATCGCAAGGGCACCACCCGCACTTCAGGCATCACTATGGGTCAAGTTCAACATGCCAACGACAACACACTCTGACGGGCTCAGCAATCCATCCACTCGGCGTACTAACCAAACTCGTGCATCCAATGTCAATGCAGGAATTGATGGTGACGGAGAAATGGGCATACCTCAAGGAGGAGAGTCATCCCAAGGGAGGGATGCATCCGTCCAAGGAGAAGTGAGCTCCAATCCCGCACCTCAATTATCCGAGCGAAGGGACGCACGAGGGAGGAATGATGAGTATGGGAGTGAAGTGCATGCAATGGAGCGTGGTAGACCGGGAAGTGGACAGATTGGGCAACAGAGTGACGGAAATGGTCAAGTGGGCGTGGAAGGTGTGGGATTTGCCTCCTAAACTATTAGTGCTCCCCCACTGCGACGACTTGCGACTAATTCCCATCCCATTGGAGTTCCTCCCGTGGCCAGGTCTCACCTTCATAGCGACAACATCATACCTCCAGGTGCACATCGTCCACCAATTGGAGCACATTCTGTGGATGGCATGGGGCGGATGGGACACGGAATGCAGTCAAGTGGTGTCATGCGATGCGATCAAGTGGAAGTACTGGAACGTCAACTTGGTGGACAGAATAGAAACATGCAGCGCATGGTACAGCTACCTCGGCCGTCAACCATGCCTACTCTCTTCGACTCCGCTCCACATGAATACACGGAAGAAGACAAAGAACGACTGTCACGCAAAATGGTGGGAGCAACGGTGGACAAGGCGTTCACCACTACTCCGTTTGACGGCTCCAACTTCCCGGAGTGGGCGCTACGGTTACGCATGAACGCGCGTGTGTCAAATCTGTGGGAGTTCTTTGTGACCCTGCAGTATCTGGTTACCATGGGGAATGATGACATTAACGACGCTATGGAGCGGTTGGAAATGCTACAGGCGGATTACTCACAGCGTGCGGCACTCGCGTTTTGGGTCCTACTTCACAGCGTGAGCGTCACGATTCAGCTGCAGCTGGACATGTTCGAGGAATCCTATAGCCCGGCTTATGAAGCATGGGAGTACTTAATGGACACTTACCAGGCAAAAGATTCGGTGGTGAAGGTCTCTCTCATGAAGCAGTTGGACAACCTGAAAATGGGGAGTCAAGAGAGGGTGGAGGAGTACGTCAACCGTGCAACAAAAATCCGGGATAAGTTAGGACTCGTAGGGAAGATGGTGGATGAAGATACCTTCACCTTAAACCTCCTCACCAAACTACCGGCACATTGGGAGGAGATGAGACACTCGGAAATGCTACACAACGTGATGGACAGCTTCACATTGCAGCGGATTATGATTCAGGAGCAGAGATATCACGACCTCATCACGAAGGCTGACCGTGACCGGCGTCCACCTCGCATGGCTGGACAAGCCCATGGAGACCGCTCACCTTCTCCAACTGCTAAGGGCAGCAGCAAGAAGGAGGGGTTTGGAGAGAAAACGCATGGCAAGGAAGGAGGTGCGGATCGCTCACCTCTTGTGTGTTGGTACTGCAAGGAGCCAGGCCACCCCTTCTTCAAGTGCACCAAGGCACCCCCTGGCTGGTCACCACTAGGGTGGAAACCGCATACCAGCAGAATGTCAAAACTGCACATCGGCAATAGTCGTTCGTTCTCTCCACAAAGGAGTCGCAACCCCAAGCGTGACAACAATGCGTCACTACAGCAAGGAGTAGTTGGGGGAGACAACCAACGTACTGTCACATGCATTGCAACGGTGCAATCTTCACAAGCAACCTTACCCTCGGCTAGAGGATCGTCATGGTTGCTGGACAGCGGATGCAGCCAGCACATGACTTCGGACGAGCGCTGGTTTGAAGAGTTAAAGGAGCTGGACGAACCTGTTTATGTGGAGCTCGCTGATGGAAGCCATTTGAGTAGCACGATGACGGGAATGATCAGAGCAACGTCATCTGATGGGACAACGGTTCGCTACACTGAGGTCCTCTACGTACCTGGCTTGAAGAACAACCTGCTCTTCTTTTGTCAGCTGTTGAAGAAAGGGGCTCACATCAACACGTTTGCTGATGGAAAAACCGAAATCACCATGTTTGATGGAGACGAGTGTGTGCGGATTGGACTTGGCAAGGACGTGCATGGAGTTCTTATGGTAAAGGATGAGCCGACACTTACATCTGCCCATGATCCTGGACATTCCCGAGATGGTGCGTCATCGAAAAAGCATGGTCGTGAAGGGGGTACACCTTTGTGCACACCTGGAGTGCACTTGGATGCCCATGGGAGCATACTTTTCCCCACACCTGGGACCCATTCTGCATGCCGCATGGCACTCAAAGCTTGCGTCGTGCGGAATTCGGCACGTAAGGTTCACACAAACATTGAGTCACCGCGGTCTTTTGCGGACATGCTGCTAGACGCTGGGTCTTTGCTTAACCACCAGCATCATGACGATGAAGTCACACCCCACATTGCAGTGTGGACTTCAGGGGGAGAAGGATAAAGGCTCGCGATGGACACGGGAGGCGATGGAGCAGACCCTGTAGAACAGGACTCACCTAGAGCTGATGAAGTTGATGCAACCCAAGGAAGTGGAGATGCTGCAGCAGATGACTTACCTGCAGCAGGAGTAATTGTACCAGAGGAGGTTGAAGACCATGATGCTGGAAACAACATGGGATGTGGAACAACGGGCGTACCATCTGCTGATGATTGTCAAGTAAAGGGAGCTGGTGTTGTACGCACCTGTGCGGCCTCCTCGAGCTGTGCTGCACAACATGGCATCACCTAACTCCACGCTCACTCCTGTGCTTGTAGCTGTGTACGTGGATGACTACAAGCACATGGGTGGGGGGGGGGGGAGTGGGGTATGGAGTGTATCTGGTGGCACTGGAGTGGAACATGGGGTCACGAAGCATAAGGGGAAGACCTGCTCACCTGCTCAAGCATTGCCAATAGGCAGGGGGAGTAGGCAGAAAGGATGCAGCCGGTTGCCATCCCTCGTCCTCTGATGCAGCAGTATCGTGCGATTGGTTGCTGCTAATTAACGGCACCACCTAAGGAAAGAGTGGAGGACATACATGGGAGGACACATTTCTGCATACCTGGTGTGCACGTTTTTACATACCTGGTCTACACATTTCCGCATTCCTGGTGTGCACATCCACATACTTGGTGTGCACCTGCATACTTGGAGTGGGCATTTCTGCATACATGGAGTGCAGACTTCTGCATATGCGTCAACATGCGCAACCCTCCAGCTGATGGAGTTCGACAACTCCTGCTACTACCGTGTGTCAGCTGGAGTGTAAGGAGAGCATCACAAGATACATGAGTGAATTCAGAGCGGACGTGGCATCATCCTTTGGTGTGGATTTCCGACATGGACAGCCTTGTGCCATCACAGCACGAGGCAGGGGGAGAAAGGCAAGGTTTACGACGAAAGGCGGAGGGAGGAAAACAGGGGGAGAAAGGTACACGGAGATGCAGCAGGTGCAGACAGGAAGATGCTGCAGCAGACGTGCACCAGGTCGCCAGCTGCTGACGAACGCCAGGACGTCGCTTCTATCGCGCGAAGTGTGCGCCTTCCAATGTAGTTCCGCGCTAGCAGCACGCCATGCGTCATCTGCTACCGATTCGTGTCATCCGCATCTACACTCGCCGCATACGCGCGTCAGGCGCGGTTGTGGCGTCGTCACACAGCAGGCCTGCGTTGTAGTGAGCAGTTGTGACGATCGTGCGTCATTAAGTCTACGGTTTCAGACATTCGGCGTGCGCTAAGAGCATTCCGCCTTGACGATATGGGCATTTCACCATGGTTAAGAGGAGATTTCCGCATGGAGCTGCTACGATTTCCTCAGCAGCAGCCATTACTCTCCAGATCCAGATCTAGAATGTCGAGATTGAAAGGAGGAATTGGAAAACGTGAAGGGAAGAGGTTTGGTTGGAGTTTGGAAGCACCAAGAGCTTGGGAAGGGAAAGGTGCTACAGTGACAAGCAGCTTGGGCAACACCAAACCCTAGTTTGGTTTGGGCGCACCCCTACCTTGTGGTGGTACACCACCTCATCCACCCCATCCTCCAAGAAAAACGAATTCACTTAAACCTACAGCAAGGGGGAGTGTTGGAAATCTGAATACAGTATAACGAATATTGCGTACTAGTATGCTGTTCGGTTTTAGTGTAGTCCCCTTTATAAGCCTCCAGGGCCAACAGTAATTGTCACAATTATTGTAGGGTCACAATTATTGGAGCTCAGCATTCTTGGAGGGTAGAGGGTACTGTTATTGGTACGCCATTATTGGTGTGGTTGGGGTCATTCTAGGAGGGGTAGCTGGATGCATAAATACCCTGGTAGCTGTGTGTCACATCATCATTCAATCATTCTACAATACAATGATCAACCTGGTTCTTATACAAGATTACTATCTTGTTGGTTTCTACAAACACGTTTCCGCTACGTTGGCACTATGCCTTTCTAGCAAGTATCACGCAGTTTGAATTGTGTCCCGCTTAGGTTAACCGTTGAAGCTAGCAAATGAAACAAGCCAAATAATGACTTCTTAGCAGATAGCACAATGAGTCGGCGAATCGATGGGAGAGGAGATCTCGGCACATGTAATATATCGCACTTTACGGTGCTGAAATCGAAAATTTCTCCGCACGACAACACTTGAAATGAACTTGTTACTGATTCGTAGGTTGAGAAAATTCTGTTGCGGAGGCACTGGCAGATTCTCGCGCGCCAAGTGATGGTTTGTGCCTTCTGCCAGCTCAGCTGCGTGGCAGGTCGCTTAGTTGGCACTTGCAAAGTCACTCCAGATCGAGAGGTTTTGAGTTGATCACGCATACTTACTGAAACTATTCGCCAAAAGCGCAGCACTGTAGCTTCTTGCGCATAGTTTCTTCTAGTTTTTCGCTCATAGCGCAAAATCAGCTCCTTTCAACGCAGTTCATTCATCATTGGCCAAATTATCGACGGACCGACATCTCCGCTTAAATTGACGGCCAGCGAAACTGCATTTTGGGCAGACAAAAATATAAACCCCTCTCGGATGGCATGTTGTTTAGGGAGGCATCAACCCTAAACATAATGCGGAAGTGTTTAGGGTTGATGCCATAAACAATCGGTTTGATTGTTCGTGATGTGTATTATTTTTAGATGGCAACATTGAGGGAGTCATCAACCCTAAACACCATATATTGTGTGTTTCGGGTTGATTCTCTTTCTCCGTGGGTTATTATTATTTTTTTTTTTTCCGCGCAGGTAAAACACAAGACTGGATAATTACTGTTCTTATTAACAGTAAAACCAATTGGCCTCTAACTTTCGAACCTGTGGCCCAATGACTATCGAAATGCATTGAAAGGAGCTAATTCTGCGCGATGAGCGAGTAACTGGCAAAAACCCTGAGCCAGAAGCTACAGTAATGCGCTTTCGACGTATAGTTTCAGTAAGTGTGCGTGATCAACTCAAAACCCTAGATCGAGCCACTTATATGTTGCAACAGTCCTCCTCGCCACTTGTAGCTCACCGAGCCAAGCTCACCGACAAACCAGAAGGGGAAAAATAACAACGCGACTCTGATTTCATTTCCCCAACACTGAAGGCCAAGAGTTGTGTTTTTTTCACCCTTGATTTCTTTTAACACGCTCAGATTTGCCATTTTGCGGGCGAAGTGCCATCAGAGTAGAAAAAAAAAAAGCGGGTCAAAAACAGGGAGGCATTTTTTAAAACGTCAGCCCTGAACCCTGCTCGTCTTGTAGCTGCTCCGGGTATTGACCCTCCTTAGCTTGGTTCTTCCTGCTAACCTCCCGTGCCCTGAGTGCTCTCTCTCTCTGTCTCCTCACTTGCCCCCTCCTCGGCGCCTCCCTTCCTTGGTAGTCGATGGATTTCCTTGTTGGCGGACAGAGGGACCTTGGTTCCCGCTTCCTGCAGTTGCCTCCCCTCCTCTCCTGGCACGTGCCGCTGCCACATTGGTCACGTGATCCCCCCTTTCCTCCCCCTTTTCACTCACCTGCACTATCAACCTTGACTCCTTAACCCCCTTCACCTTCCATTGTTCAGTGGTCAGCCATACATATAGTAGGTCCTTCTTTGCTTGCTTCAGGTACACCTCCTTCCCAGCCTGGATGTCCCTGGCTCCTCTCCCGTCTCTCCTCGCCCCCCGTTGCCGGTACCTCTGCACGTCTCGCAGCTTTGCCACGTGTAGGTTCTCTAGAGCGGCTGGCAGTAGCTCTCGTAAGTACTTGGCTCTAGCCTCTGCTACCGCCACCCATTTCTCCTCGGACCCTGCCATCTCTTAGCAAGAGATAGTACGGCGATGAATCTTTCAGAGCCGCTTGCTTACTGAATCGGTTCCCGGCTCCCTTCCTCTTGTATTGCTCGCCATAATCCCTCAGCCCCTTCTTGATAGTGTGCACAAACCGCTCGGTCAGCCCATCACTCTGCGGATGATAGCGTGATGTCCTCCGATGAGTGATCCCCATCTCCTTCAAAAGCTGCTCGAAGTGCCCCTGGAATGCAGTTCCCTATTCCGTCAGCACCTCTCCACACGCCCCAAACCGTATCAGCATTTGTTCTTCAAAGGCCTCCGCAATTCTGGTCGAATTCTCGCTGGGCAACGCCTTCACTTCCACCCATTTGCTCCCGTGTTCTATCATTATACCGGCATATACCCCTTTCCCTTGCGACTCAGAGGCATCTCCCCTGCCAGGTCTAGGGACCAGCGGAACCCCAGTCCTATATTGACAAGGACTGCAACTCATGCCTTCCTCGGTCCAGCTGAGCTCTATTCCAGCTGCGCAACTTGTCAGAATAAACGGACTGGAATGAGGCAACTAGCAGTGAGTTTGGTACAAATATGCAACCCTAGAATGGTGACCCTCCTATAGGCTAACCCACTATAGCCTACACAGATATAACATGTATAATGTTTGACACACCCCCATAGGCGAAGTGGGAGAGACCTAGGGGTCACAAGACCAGTCAGGGCAAAGCAAGACAAAGCAAGCTCAGGGTGGATCTCGAGGATTCCACACAAATTCCGAGCACAAGCAAGTGGTCACAAGACCAGTTCACATGCAGGTTTATAACAAAGCAAGAAATACAGTGATCACAACCTAGCAAGAGTAAACAAGCAGGTATAAGCATATATAGTGATCACAGTACAAGCAAGGTCAAGAGGTAAGCAAGTGAGGTCCAGTAGGCACAAGGCCTAGTAGAGTGCAGAGGCGCTGATGGTCACGAGGCTGAAGTGCCTTGGTGAACACATCAGCAGTGTTGGCCTCAGTGGCCACGTAGCGAATACAAAGCTGACCGCGCTGCTGCAGCTCTCGAGCAAGGAAGTACCGCAGGGCGATGTGCTTCGTTCTGTGCTCCAGTCTGTGCTCCTCACACAAGGCAATGGCAGCCTTGTTGTCGACGTACAGCACTGGAGGAGAACGAGGCCGCTCTCCGAGGTCGGTCAGCAGGTAGGTCAGCCAGCGTAGCTCCTGGGCAGCC